ATGTAAAAAAGACTATCAGTGAGAAAATGTATTATTTATAGGTACATATTCCACTATATGTATATGCCACTAAATCCTACATACTTGGCCTTTAAGTAAAATATAGACGTACAGTCATTTTTCCATGGTGACGTCCTTCTTTCCTGGACAAAGAACAGACAACCAAATGAAAATATAGACTGTTTTTCTGGTTCTCAGAAACATTCCACCAACAACCAGCCGGAAGTTTGAAAAAAAACACTTGTTATACAGATGCCAAGTGTTGTTCTGTTTTAATTTCCAATAACCAACAACTGGCTGGTACACTTCCAGACAAGACAACAGACAAAGTGTATTTACAGTGAAATCCCATGTACATTTCATTTCTTCACATATACATACATCCAGTCCATGTGCAATATTTACACTGTTGAGTCAGTTTCAGTTTCTGCTGAACTAGAGTGTTCACATTCACACTAATATCCTACTTATGATCTGGGATTTTGAGTATACAAAGCCTCATACAGACATCAAATCCTGGTTACACAAACCTGGATTATCACTCACCCTGGTTTTCAGGAGCCTAAATGATGTGATTTTGGTTATTTCAACTGGTGAAAAAGCATTCGATCTTAAACGACAACAGCAGCAAAAACAGCTGTCCTCGTCATGATAATGAAAAGAAACTGCAGGCTTTAGTTAATGAAAGAGCAAAAACAGACTAGATTAGAGAAATCATTGAAATGCAGATCTGTTAAAGTTTGTACAAGAACAAACTGCAGATAAGTTGATCTGATCTAGCACCTTTCAAATGTTATAAAAAAGAGTAGACGAGTTACAAGGATACAAATAACCAGTTTCTCTATCAGGATACCAGTGTGCATGTAAACATACTCAGGTGTGAATGCAGGAAACACGAGGGATTATTGTTTGATTCATAGTCTAATCTGAACAAACCCAAAAAACCAAAAGCAGAATGACTGATGGTCTGCACAGGAACTGAACCCCCAACCCGGACTGTGTTGGTGCCATTAAGCTACACAGGACTGAACACTGAAGGAAAACCTCCATATCAACCACAATAACCAAGGCAATCCCACATTTCACTTACAGTATATACAAACTAGAATATCATTCACATGTACATTTACATTTTAAGGTCATAAAGCAAATAACTATGTACACTCTGTGCCAGTTATATATACTGTTAAACTCTTCAGTATTCGTTCCTAATGCTTCTCTAAAGCTCTCATAAAATCTCTTTCTGATGCTTCAAGTATAGGTTCATTCACAGAAATATCACTACTGCCAGGGGAAAAACCTCACATCTGCAACATGTTTGTTTAAAAATCCAACAAATGGCTTTCCAGCTGAGCTCCATTTTGTTTTTAAAATAATACAGCAAAGGATCAGCCGACCTCACAATGAAATCTAAACTCGCAAAGGAAGAACACTGCGGTCCAAGCACCCAGAGCAACTTGGGATCGAAGGCACACTGTCCCTGGGCAATCGGAGCCTGTTTTAGATAACTTCATGGTGTTGTGGCACCATAGAGAGTTCTGATACAGCTTTATTTAAAAAAAAATATAGATTTGCTTGAGTTTGGTATTACAATACTGGAGGTTGTGCAAGCTATTGTGTAATTGTATATACAGGATGTGCATACCAAATTTAGTGCCATTTTGAGAATCCACTGGTGACCAGGACCTTAAATATTATAATTAAAGGTGCTAATAGGTGTTAAATAGCTCTAAAATCTGACAGCCATCACTGATATAGTGTTCAGTCACTAACACGGGTCTCCCGGTCCCTCCTTTCTGCAGTAAGCGGAATACAGTTTATGGTATCATGGTCCCACTTTATCCAATCAGGAGAGAACTCCACAAAGACGCGGTCCTTAAGGGCAGGTAGCAGAAATTTTGTGTGGTCATGTGGGAGGAGGGAGGGAACTGCTAACTGTAAGTCAGAAAGTTAGCCAAATGCAGATTTCACTTAGAGCACCTTTAAATGTTAAAATGCCACTTGTTGTTCAATTACAACCAAATTGATGTAGACACCAAGATTTGTCAAATTTAAAGAACGTAATCCTGAGACAAAATGTGAGGACAACATGACTTAATCGCATACTAAATCAGAGGATCTATTGTTAACTGTACTGAAATTAAAAATAAAAGTCAGAGAATTATTAGAACCATAAAACTCAAACTCTGTTGGTGCTTGGACCGCTAACACGCTAAACGTTGCAGCTCTGAGGTTTCCCCACGGCCAGCAGCCAGCAGCACTTTCATAAAGTGACTTTGATATAAAAATAAAACAGATGTGACAGAATGAGTAAATCCAGGTTGATTTAAAAACACGCTGATCTGAGGTAGAGTGACAAACGGGGACACTACCCGGTCAAATTAAAAACTATCCAGTGAGGTGTTTGGTTATTTTACTCTCATTATTAATAATTTTCTAAAATATATACAATAAACCTATGTGTGGGCCTGTTAGCAATGCATTGCCTAGAGCATTTCCTTCTATCTTGTCTATCTTGGATAATGGAAGTTAAAATCTTGGCCATAGAAATGACAAGTACAATTGATATTTGGACATTTTAGGTGGCTGACTCATCTCTCAGCTCATCACATTCGAACTTTGTTAGCGATCGTTAGCTGGTAGCAGGTTAGATACTGTACACTTAGAAAGAATAAAAATCCCTTAACCCTGCCAAAAAGAAAAACACTGTAACAAAAAAACGGTTCTTCTTCAACAAAAAAACACTGATGTTTTGGCTGCTGTAAATATGTTGCAGACATGTTTCTTTTGTACAATAACCAATAAGAAATAATCACAGCATAAAAATACGGCTTCAAAATGATACAGCTGAAGGTAAAAACACCTTTCTTTGTTTATCACAAAAACAATCAACAACTTCAAGCTTAAAGATGAAAAAAAATCCTTCCATTAAAACCTCAAAAATACTTTACTTTCTGGGGACTTTATTTGGGCGTATTCCAAAACTGGGCTAGCCCAATGCATAAAAAATCGCAGTTGGCCCCTCCTCCTGTCAATCAAACGATGGTTTCCATTTAAACTGTGTGGTCCCTGTTGGCTCCACCGTCTCTCTGTCAGTCAAATAATCGTCTCCGTCTCTTCTGTCAAATTGAGCAAATGACATCTTATTTGCAGCTCTTAGCTCCCGCCTCCTTGTAAAAGAAACATCCTTATTGGTCGCTCAGAAGATGTTACTGCCTCTGCTCCTGGTCGGTGAAGTAATACGCAAATACCGCCTTCTGGCAAAGAAACAATGCTATTGGAGCTTCTTGGTATCAATAGCAATCTTCTGACAATAAAAGTACACTTAGTCCCGCCCTGCGGCAAAGAAAATGTGTTACCGTTTCTTTTTGTAACAAAATGTCAATCAATCAAACCACTTTGGAAGCCCCACCCTCTGTGGTCCTTCCAACTGTCCATCAAACGATACTGTCCTGCAGCAGCGGCTCAAAGTCCTCGTCGCTGGCAGTGGGAGGGGTCTCCTCGTCGCTGCCTGGGAGGGGCGTGTTGATGTGGACGCCTGCTAGCGAGGACATGGACTCTTTGCTGTCTGGGTGGGGCTTGTCGCTGAGGGACAGCTGGGAGGAAGAGGAGGAGCAGGAGGGTTTCTCAGGGATGAAGAGCGCAACGACAAAGGCAACTACCACGGTACACGCCCCCAGCAGGAAGGGTGGGCCAGGGATGAGCGCTCGCTGAGAAAGAGGAATAAAGAACAATGTTTCTTTTCATTTTTTTGTCTTTCATCTGGAGCACAACTGAAGCATATCCAATACTGCTGTTTACTACTACTGTTATCTTTTCAGGTAAACATGGCAAGGCAATTCATTTATATAGCACATCTAATTATAAAATATAGTAAAATAAATGTGCATACAAAAAACTGTTTTTTCAAATGTGCTGACCAGAGCACAAACTACTTTCTGCATCAACATGGTGGCAAGGGGCCGCATGATTTAAATGATGTCATCTGCAATATGTCATGTCCAACTGAAATCACATTCGCCCTTTTTACACTCAAAAATAATTGCAAAGTGATTTTTAAGTTTATTGTTAATAATTTTATTATTAAAAAAAGACAACAAAAAAGTTGTTAGTAGTATTGAAGAGTAAAGAGCACACCAACATCTAACCAGACTGAAGAGAAATTTGAAGGAACGTCTTTAAGCTGTTTAATGTGCTCCGTTGCAAAAAACCTCCAAACTGCACTTCCTCTAACAGCCACTAGAGGCTGACTCCAACAGTGAGTCAATCTCCATAAGGCCCCATATTAAAATGCCCAACTTTACAGCAGAAATAAACATGTTTACAGCCTGATACAAAAAACGGTTTTGGTCTCGATAACTAATTTTCCTGTTTATATATAACTCATGACTGAGTTTCACAATGGCTCTTCAGAAACCTCTAAGTGTCACTACGGACAGTTTTAATCATACAGTCTATGATATTATTATTAATCACTTATTATAACACTCCCTACTAGCAGTGTTCAGCAGGAGCCTCAATGATTTGTTTTCTGCACCA